ACAAAGCAGGAAATCTCTGGGTTTGGATAAAAAGTAAAAGGAATGGACATACACTTCTTTTTCATAGGTGGATATAGGATCGTTAACAATTAACACAATAACAATAACAATGAGGGGCTCTGTAGTCTCCTGCTCTGGTGGGAAATAGTGCCCTGAAGGATTTGGTAAAAGGAAATTAACCCTGATTTTCCAAAGGTATGTTATCCTAGATGCAAAAAGACAATAACAGACAGGCTCATTTAAGGTAAAGATTGACCTTTGTCAAGGAAGATGCTGGCCTAGATCATGACTACTCACCAAGACTTGCTTTTATATGGAAAGTTTTTATTTCAGACCAACTTATGTGATTACTTTAGGTCTCAGAATTTATAAGGCCTACTATGCAGGCCTCCCCTGAGCTTGTCAAGGAGGAGAGTATGATTCATGATAAAAGTAATTTGGATATAAATGACTGATAGGTTTAAATTTTAATAGGTATTTTAATTTTAGCAGATAAGCTTTTTAACCCAAATGAATGGTTATTGGATTTCATAGAGTAGAAGATAGAGGGGTGAAAGGGGAGGAAGTTGCAGACTGACAACTGTGGGATATGTGGCCCAACCTTGCTTATTCTGGGTTCTGTCTCCTTGTCCCCTCCACCCCAACTGCTGTCCACTTTTTATTCTAACTGGGAACAAAATATATGGACTCAGCATTGTTTCATAGCCTGCAGCTGCATTCCATCCGCCCCACCCCCCTTCCCTTTGCCTAGCTCTCACCAGCCTTTTGGGACTTAGTGAAAACAAAGAGTCATTACGGGGGAGAGAGTGGGTTGGCACTGCCCACAGGGAATACACAGGGCCACAAATGTGAGGGTCTCTGTACAGTGCTCCTCTGTTTGTCTAGAGAGGCATGGTAATTTAACATTGCCTATGCTGATTGCTCTAGAAACTCGTAAGATGTACACTTACAGTTTTCCTATGTGGAAAATGTTTAGGACTTCAAATGGAAGGTTTAAATTTAGGTTCCCACAAAAGATACTTTTCCTTAATGAGAAATTTTAGTTCTCTTTTACTACAGTGTTTCAGAAACTTTGAAAAATGTTTCTAGAAAGGATTTAGCAAATCAAACAAATTTACAGTTTTACATTAAACATGTTTGAAAATATACAACTATCATGATAATGTCATATGTAGGCATATTTGAAGCATAACCGAAGCATTGTTAAAATATCATTTTAAAAGTGAACATTTACTGTTAAAAATATATCCTGATGCTAAGCACTGCATGGTTATATTGTTCCTTGTTACCAATATAGGATTTCCCCCCCCTCAGTAGTGTCTTTAGAAGGTCAGAATTTGAGTTTTGGCAGGTTAGCTTTTAAGCATGTTTACTTTTGTGCCTGAATATGTTCTCTGAGGTTGAAATTTTCTTCTAAAAAAAAGGCAGAGTGGAACATTAAACAAAGTATAGCAATATACTGTTACGGAGTAAAAATTCTGAGAATCATTGATTACCTGGATTTTTATCATCACAACTGGGCAGCAACTTTTATAGTATTATAGTATAAAAAATGTAAATTGTATCTTTCACAATTCATCTCCCCCCTTTCCTTTAGCAGGGGTGAGGAACGTCGAGGTGGGGAAATCATTTGGTCTAGCCCTGCCAAGGCATTAGGAGTGAGTTAATTACATGTTTGACCAAATTTAGCAGGCTACTTTTTAAGTTGATAATTTTGTATGGCCCTCGAATGATGTTATAAATATCCTTGGCAGAAAAAAGGTTCCCCACCCCTGCTTTAGAGGAAGAGGGTGCTCAGGAAATTGAATGGTCATTGAAGGCATTTTATGGATTCAGAAAGAGGAGGAAATATCTGTAGGAGCAGTTGATTGTGATTCTAAGCTTGTGATTATCAGGAGCTACATAAGTCAGCTACAGATGTCTTACTGACTTCCCTGAAGAGTGTGAGTCAACTAATTATCCTCACAGTTTTAATTCATACCCATGATGCTCACTAACTAAAGGTTTCCTAGGATTATACATCCTGTAGACCCGTTTCAATTGAACAGAAAAAGTGGTAAGATTCACGTGGGCTACAGTATTGAGGTGTTCAGGTTACAA